TACACGATGATCCAATAGTATTGACCAAAATACTAGCATTGTTGAAGAAAATGACGACACCCTTAATTCCCTTTGTAACGGCTACAAGAGCTAGTTGAAGTTGTTGTGCAAAACAATGAACATAAAATGCTTGAGGATACTTGCTCAAAATCTTTGTTTTAAGGCCATTTAGCTCACCTTTCATATTACTAGCTCCATCATAGCCCTGTCCCCGTAACTTGGACATAAATTTGTTGTAGTAAACAATCTCTCAATAGTCTCTTCAAGTGAGCTACTAGTTGTAGAAGAGACATGTTGCACACCCAAAAACTTTTCAATTGCTTCTCCTTTTTTGTTCACATAACGCAATACCACCACCATTTGCTCTTTAGTTGAAGAATCACGTGATCCATCAACCAAAAGAGAGAAAAAATCACCTTCCATATCTTTAGTGATTGCATCTATACTTTCAATGGCACAAGCACAGACAAGGTCTTTTTGAATATCGGAAGAAGTATACTTAAGATTCTTGGGAGCATTCACTACTACAATATTAGCTTTAGGTGGCGGATGATGGTGGCGGATATTAGAAAATCATGTCGGATAAATTATATTCGACACATCATTTAATTACTGGCGGATATTAGAAAAATCATGTCGGTTATATCCGACATAAATTCCTGGCGGATATCAAGAAAATACTGGTGGATATTTACTGGTGGTATTTTTGAATCTTTTTAAAAATATTTTTTACATATTCTGGCGGTTTTTAAGTTAATGGTGGCGGTTATAACCGACAGAAATTGACTATTTTATTCTTTTACTTTATGGCGGTTATTATTTTAGTATTCTGGTTGTTATAACCAATATAAATGAAAATTTTATTATTTTAAAATGTTATATTGATTAAAAATAAATAAATAAACACATATTTAAATTTTTTTTTTCACTCATGACCCTAAAGTCTAATGAAACCCAATTCCCACAAGCCATAAATTTTCTGAGAGAATAATAACAACAGACTACAATCTAAAGCTCTATCATTTTTGTAATAAGGATTATGCTCCCTCACATGCAAGCAACAAGATACAAAGAAATTTAAACAATTTTTTCCAATGCGTCACAATGCACATTGTCTGGCACATAAACACACATGAACATCTGGTGTACTTTATCATGTCTGATTTTATTATTTTAAAAATGTTATATTGATTAAAAATAAAATAAACACATGTTTTAAATATTATATTTTTTGCGATTTTTTAACACATGCTATCTCATAGTATATACGAACATATTTGACGGTTGGATTGTTGAAACTAGTTTTATTAGAATGCATATCAAATTGATAGATTTAACAAACACTTAAGAGTTAATGTTATACTTCCATTAAGTATAAAATAAGATTTATCCACTAGTGTAAATATTTTAAATTGAAGATCGAATTCATTCATTGCATTCTTATAGGATCGAGGGTGTGGGCTTTGTTGGTGAAGGGAGGGATTGGAATGGTAAAGGCATGACACGCGGGCCTGAGTAAAGGAACAGGGGACATGTAGTCCCCCCAATACATACATATATATATTTTCAAACATCGAAACGGCGCCGTTTGACTTTTAATTTTTTAATTTTTTTTTACCAGGAGCAAAACGACGTCGTTTTGGCATGGATTTATAAAAAAATAAAAAAAATAAAATAAAAAAAAACCAATATGCGAACCAGTTCACCGGAGCGAGAACAGACATGGAGGTGCTGGGTTTTCCGGTGAGGGGAAGGGCAGAACCTCCGCTCTAGCTGTGTTTTCCGGCGAAGGGAATGGCGGCTGCCACTCCTCGTCGTCACGTGGCTTCGCCACTGCTCTCAATGGTTTATTTTAGACACTTAAATAGGACCGAGTAGTACAATATACCAGATATACAAGGAACGTATATAGCAACTTCCATCTATCTAAGAAATTCATTTGTTGTCAAATGTTACTAGAAAAGTAGGGTTGTAATTTGGTTTCATTTAGGATTAGGAATCTTTAATTATATATGTATTAGAGTTATTTAGTCCTATTGATATACGGATTAGAATTGTTTACTACGTATGTATGTTAGTTGGAGAGATTAAACACAACTTGATATAACAAGTATAATAATATAATTGTTTAAAAATTTAAACAGAAATTTTTTCCATCATTTATATTATGAATATATTTGGCTAAAAAGTTATCTTCTATCTCGTTAACTTGAAGGTGGGCTGTGAAGGTTAAACGAAGTCCAGATAGAAGGCAACGTTTTAGCCAAATAATTATTTCATAATTTCTCTCAGTCACACGCGATACAAAGCACTTGGAGTTTATAACCTGTTTTGGACTTTTCAATGGATTCCCACAGCTGCTGCTGTCGATCGTAGTAAATACTTGAAAGCCGTAATTAAGTAAGTTAACACGTCCTTTTTTGGAAGTTGTTCGATGTTTACCCCCATCCCCAGGACGTAAACTTTTACAGTTTTATTTAGGGTTTTTTCACGACCACACGGTACGTACGTCAGTTGACCATAAACGAGCAAATCTCAACGGTTAAATCTCCTTATTTTATGTTAATCTAAGGCATCTTCAACGAAGATGTCAAAAGAAAAATATCAAGGGAACTTTCATGAAAAGGGCTTAGACTAAGTTTATTTTAAAAAAAAACCATGCTATAACTTTATTTAATTAAAAAGACTAAAATTTTAATGAAAAACCCTTAAATTTTAATAAAAATGACAAAAGAACTTAAATTTTAATGAAAAAGACATAATTTTAATATTAAAAAAAAAAATCTGATGCGCGGACCCATGTGTCCTCACACTGTTTATGGAACTTCTACACTGCTTATGGAACTTACGACACTATTTATGAAACTTACTGCACTATTTATGAAAACTTACGACACTGTTTATGAAACTTAATGGTACTACATTCTTCTCTCTCGTCTTCTTGAATATTCTTAGCACATTCTCACTTTCCAAACACATCTTATTCTTCTAATCTTCTTCGATACTCATTAAAATACAAAGATTTAAAAGCAATTTTCATTAATTTTCTTAGAAAAATATACACATATATTTACCTTTTGTCGCCAAACATCAATGTGATGACGTATTTAAATTTCTCCTCTTCACATGTCGATGTCCAATGCATAAAAAATTGAAGCACCGAAACGAAAATCAAACAAAAATTTGTCTGCCATGTAAGATAAAGCATCAGTGTTCCTTCATCTGAAACTCCACTTGTAATTACCTAGATAGTTTGAACTTGAAGCATTTAGCATTGTGGCTATGCTTGCGCGAAAGTGCGATAGGTTGGTCGATTTCATTCAGTGTTTCATAGGTTGTAGTTGATGTGCAACAAGTCGATTTGAATTAAATTTGGGTTCGGATGCAAGTTTGACAAGACCATGTATAGTAAACATGCAACTTGCAGAAGCGAAGTTGTTTGATAAGAGTATTGGGTGATTGGGTGGTTGGGTGGGTGAGGGCGCGCGCACAGCGCGACTTTTTTTTTTAATGTTTATTTATTTTATTTTTTTTGTCCTTATCATTAAATAAAGTTAGTGTATGGTTTTTCATTAAAATGCAAAAATTTGAAGCCCTTTTCATTAGTTTTCCTAAATATCAAATGTTAATTTAATGGCTGACATGCCAATATCATATTTTCTATTTTTTCCAACTGATATGTTTTTTTGTTATAAATGATATTTATAGGACTCATTTAAAAAAAATTAAAATAAATTTTCAAGATCTATAATTGATGTATTAATGAGACCTATACATTAAAATAATTAAAAATTATTTGACATCAACTTTTTTCATATGTCAAATTTGACATATGAAAACTTGTACGTCATGTCAATCCATATAGGATTGACATATCAATTGGAGCTTGCTTCTACCTTAAATTTGATTACATGACATTTTACTTAGAATTTGACACCTCATTTAAAGATGTTCTAAATTTTTGAACCTACACAAGCCCCGAGAGATAACCAATAATACAACGTTACATAGATGTTTCTGCCCTGATCAGGTTGGATCTGAAGGGAACAACATTCTCAATATGTACATGATCATCACAAGAAACCTGACCTCTTGAGTCCTTTGACCTATCGGGGTAAGTTTTCATGCTCAGTATATATACACAGAAAGAAAATCATTTATCCATCCATGATGGTGAATGATGAAACAAACCATAACTAACTTTGCCTTCGTGTTTAATTGCGGATAGCTTTGCTAACATGAGCTTGGCCTGGCTTCCTAAACCTTGGTGTGGCATGATTCACTTCCGTCGGTAGTTTAGCTTCACTCCATTCGGAATTAGTGCATCCTGACTTACAGGTCAGTCTTTCTCTCGTGATGTGTGATTTTATTTTTTTCTACCATTATGTATTTTGATGTTTCAAAGCTTGTTTGTAAGTTTCTATATTTTAGGCATTTTTCTAGAGGAGTTAGGTTCTAGGTCCCATTTTTTTTGTTCTAATTTTTCCTTTTGTTTTCAAGAGGGGTCAGGGTTAGAGGGATTAGGCTCATTAACTGTTTAAAATTTTTGTACATATGCTCATATTAATTTATCAAGAGACTAGGATTTCATATATGATAAGGTCAGCGGGAAGACAATTACACACATTACTTCCTAAAGATTCAGAATTTTGACCACTTTATTTCATTTTAAATGCTAGCTTAGGTATCACCTCCATTTTTTTTTTTTGAACAAATGATATTATCTATTAACAGAGTAACAAAGAATGCAGAAAAACTACTAAGAACAGTATGAGTGTTTAGAGAGCAAGAGAGAGACAAAACGATTGTATTATTACTGAATGAATTCTTAACACTTTCAGACTTCAGTTTATATAGAGCCATTCTAACTGTCTTGTATTGTAAGCTGTTTTAACTAACTAACTGATAACAACTCAGCTAACTAATTTCAACCATTTAACTAACTATTGACTGATGAGCTGGCCATAGGTGAGTCATAGGTGTATAGTCAACATTCCCCCTCAATCTAAGCTGGGATTTCCAAGCTTTAGATTGTAACAATGCTTGAGAAATGAAAGACTATGCAGCCCCTTAGTTAGAATGTCTGCTGTTTGTTCTTCTGTTGGAATGTAGAGAACCTCAAGATCTCTTCTCTGTACTCTTTCCCTTACAAAATGATAATCTGTATCCAGATGCTTGATTCTGGAATGGAAGACAGGATTGGAACTTAAAGCTATCGCAGACATGTTATCACAATGTATTATAGGAGGTTGAGGCACTGAGCATTTCAAATCTCTGAGAATCTGTCTAACCCAAGCTATGTCTGCAGCTGTATGAGCTAGAGCTTTATACTCAGCCTCTGTAGAACTTCGGGACACCGATGTTTGTTTCTTTGATTGCCAAGAAATCGGATTTTCCCCAAGATAAACCACATACCCAGTAACTGATCTCCTTGTATTGAGATATGCAGCCCAATCAGAATCTGAGAAAGCAGTGAGAGTAGGATGTGATGCTGCAGAATACACTATCCCAGTATGCAGGGTTCCCTGCAAATATCGTAGAATTCGTTTGACATCACCAAAATGTATCTCGGTAAGGGAATTCATATATTGACATACTGTATTAACTGCAAATGCAATGTCAGGTCTCGTAAATGTCAAGTATTGTAGGGACCCCACAACACTTCTGTATGTACTAGGATCTGCAAGGAGAGAACCTTCGGAACACAAAAGCTGACTATGAGGCTTACAAGGAGTAGCAGCTGGTTTACACGAATCCATTCCTGATTTATGAATGAGATCCTTTATATACTTTGCTTGATGAACAAAAATATCCCCATTTGATTTATATTGAATCTGCAGACCAAGAAAGTAAGTGAGCCTGCCCAAATCTTTCAAATCAAACACTGTTGATAATTCTTGGACTACATTTTGAACTTTAACTGAGCTTGATCCAGTCAAAATAATATCATCCACATATAACAGTAGGATGATTATGTCCGCAAAGTCTGTTTTCATAAACAAACTTGTGTCTGAAACTGATGCAGTGAATCCCATTGCGAGGAGATAACTTGTAAACTTTGAATTCCAGGCTCTAGGTGCCTGTTTTAACCCATATAGTCCTTCATTTCTCAAGCATTGTTACAATCTAAAGCTTGGAAATCCCAGCTTAGATTGAGGGGGAATGTTGACTATACACCTATGACTCACCTATGGCCAGCTCATCAGTCAATAGTTAGTTAAATGGTTGAAATTAGTTAGCTGAGTTGTTATCAGTTAGTTAGTTAAAACAGCTTACAATACAAGACAGTTAGAATGGCTCTATATAAACTGAAGTCTGAAAGTGTTAAGAATTCATTCAGTAATAATACAATCGTTTTGTCTCTCTCTTGCTCTCTAAACACTCATACTGTTCTTAGTAGTTTTTCTGCATTCTTTGTTACTCTGTTAACATGGTATCATCGCCGAGTCGATTCTTGGTGCCTTTCTTCCGCTGATTTGGGATCGACAGGGAGGAGACGCTCTTCGATCATATCGTTTCTGGTTTGGGTACAGATTCAAGAACGCAGTCCTTTCAGGTTCTTTCTGATTTCTTGCACTCTATATGTTTGATGAAATGTCGAAGTCACAAATTCTGCTTCAAGTTGCATAATTGTTCGAGGCCGATAGTCATTAGTCTTGGAATCATGGAATGGATAGATCAATGAGGTATTTGTTGGGATAGAAAGGCCAATAGCCATTTTCCTTTTATGTTTCACTTCAGAAAGGCCGATAGCCAGAAGTGTGTGTGTCGAAGTTTTGTGTCACTTCAGAAAGGCCGATAGCCAGAAGTGTGTGTGTACAATTCTTGTTGTGTTCTTCAAAAGGCCGATAGCCAGGAGTTGTTGACGAGTTCTTCCGAAGATTTGATTTGTTGTTAAAGTTGATATAATGGCCGATTCAAGTGTCAAAATTGAAGCATTGTTGGGAATGTTGACTGTGAAACTTCAAGATGATAATTTTGTTAAGTGGGGATATCAATTTCAGTCAGTTTTAAGGGGATATGATTTGTTTGATTTCTTTCTTGGAGAGATTCCTTGTCCATCTAAGTTTGTGATTAGTCCAGAAACCGGTATAACAAAGGAAGTCTCTGCCGAGTATAAAGAATGGGTGAGAAAAGATATGGCACTGCTAAGTCTTCTTATTGCTACTTTATCTGATGAGGCTATGGAACATGTCATTGGGTGCAGAACATCTCATGAAGCCTGGACATGTTTACAAGAAAGGTTTGCATCGATTTCAGTTGTTCGAGTTAATCAGTTAAAGACTGAATTACATACAGCACAAAAAGGAGGGGAATCTGTGGATAAGTTCTTAATGAGGCTGAAGAATATAAGGGATCAACTTGTTTCTGTTGGAGAAAGAATTTCAGATAATGATTTGATGATTGCTGTGTTATCTGGTCTGCCTGTAGATTTTGAGATGATTCGCACAGTGATCTTAGCAAGGGATACAGCTCTATCTTTAAAAGATTTCCGAGCTCAACTTCTTGTTGCAGAAGGGAGTATTGAGTCCAAGATGCAATCTTTGTCCAGTTCTATGGCTGCAATGTGTGTTCAAGGTGAAGGTTCTAGCGCTCAGCGATATCAGGGCTATGAACATGGTGAAAGCTCAAATACACAAGGGATGCAATGAGGATATAATGGAGAGCAATTTGGAGATAGCTTTCAAGGTGGTTCTGGTTTTCTGGGCAATGGAAATAACAGGAACAATTACAATACTAGAAATGGTAGCAACAACAATTTCAAGAAGTTTGGGAATGGAAATAACAATTTTAAGAATTCATCTTTCGGATTTCATAACAGGAATGCAAGTGGAAGTACTAACAATCACTTTGGGAATGGAAACAACAATTATTCTGGAAATGGAAAAGCTCCTCAGAGTGGGGGAAATGGATATTCTGGAAATAGTTATGGGAATGGAGGTTCGTTTTCTGGCAATGGGAGTTCAAATGGTTATTCTAAGACAAATTGGGCTGGAAATACCAATTTTAAGTCTTCTGTGTCACCAGAGTGTCAGATTTGCTCAAGAAGAGGACATACTGCACCAAACTGTTATTACAGATCTGATAATAGGAATGTTCAGAGTTCCGGTCCTGTGATATGTCAAATTTGTGGAAAAAAAGGGCATATTGCTCTTGAATGCTATCATAGGAACAACTATGCTTACCAAGGTAATCCTCCACCTTCTTCTCTTGCTATGACTGCTCAGGCAAACATTGAGACAAATGCAGCTGCTGGTTCAGTATTTCCAAATGAAAATGGACATGGTTTTTCTACTGAAGATCATTGGATTATTGACACGGGGGCTACTCATCATATGACTGCTAATCTAAATCATCTCAATAATGTCATTCCATACAATGGTGATGAGAAGATTACTATTGGGAATGGTACAGGTTTATCAGTCACTCATATTGGTTCAACTTCTATATCTATGCCTCATAATGATATAGTATTGAGAAATGTGCTTTGTGTTCCTACAATTGCTGTTAATTTGTTATCTGTTAAAAAGATGTGTAAGGATAATGGTTGCTGGTTTGTGTGTGATGATATTGTGTTTTTTATACAGGACAAGGCAACAAGGAAAATACTTTACCAAGGAAAGAGTGATGGTGGGGATCTGTTTACAATACCGGTGAATGTGTTTGCCAGGTCGTTTGCTGCAAAGTTGGGAAAATGTTCAGCTTTTCTGGGAAAGAAAGTTCATGTTTCAGTATGGCATCAAAGGTTAGGACATCCATCTGTGGAGGTACTTGCTGCAATGCTAAAGAAGTCAAAGGTGGTAGTTCATGCTGATTGTTCACAGTCCTTATGTTCTTCGTGTATTAGTGGTAAAATGAGTAGGCAACCTTTCATGTAAAACAGTCTAGAGCTACTTTTCTTTTTTAGAAGGTTCATACTGATGTATGGGGGCCCTCTCCAAAGGTGTCTGTACAAGGTTATAGGTACTATATTAGTTTTGTAGACGAATTTTCTCGGTTCCTTTGGATATTTCCTATGAATAATAAATCACAAGCTTTTGAGATATTTGTGAAGTTTCATGCCTTTATTTTGAATCAATTCAATGCTACAATCAAGTGTTTACAATCTGATGGAGGGGGAGAGTTTTTGAGTAAAACATTTATCAATTTTCTGGAGAATAAAGGGATTAAACATATGCTATCTTGTCCATATACTCCTCAACAAAATGGCATTGCAGAGAGGAAACATAGACATGTGATTGAAACTGCTGTGACTTTGTTGACTGAAGCAAATTTACCTACCTAATTCTGGTATCATGCTTGCACACATGCTGCATTTCTTATTAATAGGATGCCAAGTAGAATCCTAAGTATGCAGTCCCCATATCAGGTAGTTTTGGACTAGAACCTGAGGTTCAACATCTAAAAGTGTTTGGTACTGCAGTTTATCCATTTTTGAGGCCATATAATGAGAACAAACTGCAGCAAAGATCAATTCAGTGTGTTTTTCTTGGTTATATGATGGGATATAAGGGCGTAGCTTGTTACAATATTAGTACTGGTAAATTGCTCATATCAAGACATGTTGTTCACGATGAGGAGGTTTTCCCATACAGAGGCAAATTAATCACAGAAATGCAGAATTCTGTCAAGTCAACACAGCATAATCCTTCCAATCCTTCAGCTCCAATTGTGATACATATGCCATTTCCCAATGATAATGGTTATGCAGGACAGGTTATGGCAGTACAAAATGAGACTGCTAATACATCGGTTCAAGCAAGTGACTCACCTGAAGTCAGTGGTGCAAATTTACAGTTATCTTCACACAGAGATGGGTCTCACAGTTCTGATCAGCATTTATCTTCACACAGAGATGGTTCTCACAGTCCCGATCAACATGATAGTTCCCCTCACCATCACTCTGGCATCTCAACTAGTATTTCTCCTATGTTGCCTGTCCATCACAATTCTCAGCTTGAGGTAATTCTGCCTATCTCACCATTAACTAGTTCATCTTCTGAGTATTTACTTGATGCAATACCAGCAAATGTTGTTCAAACAAGGTTGAGAACAGGTGCTATTGAACGAAAGAATTATGCAGCATTGATGACCTTCTGTCCTTAAATTCAAAGTTTACAGATCACAGATGAAGATCCATTTGTTGGAGGCTTTTCTTTTATGTCTGAGATTACAGATCCAGTTGAACCTTCATGTTTCAGAAAAGCAGCATCCATGTCTCAGTGGCAAAATGCGATGCAAGAAGAGTATGATTCTCTTCGAGCTCAAGGTACATGGAGACTAGTACCTACTCCTGAAGATAGATCTATAATTGGCAGCAAATGGGTGTATAAGGTGAAAAAGAACCCTGATGGTAGTATTTCAAGATACAAGGCGAGGCTTGTGGCTCAAGGGTTTTCCCAGGAGCATGGTGTTGACTATTCTGATACTTTCAGTCCTGTTGTGAGGCATACAACTGTAAGGATAATTATTGCATTAGCTGCTATGAATCGGTGGGAGTTGAAACAACTTGACATAAAGAATGCTTTTTTGCATGGGGAGTTACAGGAGGAGGTGTACATGAAACAACCACAAGGCTTTGTGGATCCTAGCCATCCAACTCATGTTTGTAAGTTGTTGAAATCCCTATATGGGTTAAAACAGGCACCTAGAGCCTGGAATTCAAAGTTTACAAGTTATCTCCTCGCAATGGGATTCACTGCATCAGTTTCAGACACAAGTTTGTTTATGAAAACAGACTCTGCGGACATAATCATCCTACTGTTATATGTGGATGATATTATTTTGACTGGATCAAGCTCAGTTAAAGTTCAAAATGTAGTCCAAGAATTATCAACAGTGTTTGATTTGAAAGATTTGGGCAGGCTCACTTACTTTCTTGGTCTGCAGATTCAATATAAATCAAATGGGGATATTTTTGTTCATCAAGCAAAGTATATAAAGGATCTCATTCATAAATCAGGAATGGATTCGTGTAAACCAGCTGCTACTCCTTGTAAGCCTCATAGTCAGCTTTTGTGTTCCGAAGGTTCTCTCCTTGCAGATCCTAGTACATACAGAAGTGTTGTGGGGTCCCTACAATACTTGACATTTACGAGACCTGACATTGCATTTGCAGTTAATGCAGTATGTCAATATATGAATTCCCCTACTGAGATACATTTTGGTGCTGTCAAACGAATTCTACGATATTTGCAGGGAACCCTGCATACTGGGATACTGGGATAGTGGGATAACTTGTAAACATTAAAAGGGAGGGGGTGTGGGCTTAGCCTCACAATGGGCTAGCAATAATGTGGTTCAAATTCGTCTTTGGCGAGAATTAAACTTAAGACCTCTCATTTACAAGTAAAGAAGAATACCACTAGACAGTAGTACTAAGTGGCACCTCCAAAAAAAATATTAGCTTAAGTATATGAGGGATTTATGAACACTCTTTTGTTTACAATACTCTTCCAAATTTCTATATTTATATCTTAATTATTTCATGCATGATTCATTTACTTTTTATACATGGACTGATTGCTGGATATATAGACAAGAAAAAAATGAATAAATTGTGTATGTAAACTTTTTCTTTCTTTTTTCGAATATAAATGATATTATTCACAATAAGGGGTGGGAGAGTGGGTTAAGCCTCACAATGGGTTAGCCATAATAATTATGATTCAAAATTTTCTTTGGCGAGGACTAAACCTAGACGTCTCACTTAAAAGTGAAGATGAATACCACTACACCGTAGTACAGTACTAAGTGACAATTGTGTAGGTAAACTTAGAAGGTTTTGGTTTGAAAAGCTCTAGGGTTTCTTCTAAAATTTTGTTTTTTTTTTGTCCTTTTTCTTTTCTGAAATTATTATTATTTTTTTTTCTTTTGGTCAGGGGAAAATGCGGGATTAGTTTTCAAAATAGTATGCAAATATTAATTTTATGGAATGTGGATCACATCATTACCATATCATTTGCTAAATTTGTAACAAAAGAACAAAACTACTCCCAAACCTATATTCTTGGTCACTTCAACATCAAGGTCTTTTACTCTCATCTGAAAAAATTAATTAGTTCCATCTCTGATTCCTCATATCAACATCAAACTCTCTCCCATGCAAGGTCTTTCACTCTCATCTGAAAAAATTAATTAGTTCCATCTCTGATTCCTCATATCAACATCAAACTCTCTCCCATGCATCCATCATCCAGTTATTTTGATTCCCTACAGCCGAGGACCCATATGCATTTCTCTCTCTCTCTCTCTCTCTCTCTCTCTCTCTCTCTCTCTCTCTCACTCACTCTCTTATGAATACAAATACAATCATGTATAACTCACATTACACAGATACACTGTTATTTTAATGTCTCATGCTAATGATACATCTAAAAAACAATTTACGCGTATTGTTATACTATTAATACATGATGTCCCTGTACACCCGTGCGATGTTAGTTGTTCTTAATCACGTACACATCCCTAGTTGTTACTTAAATAAGGTCTATCTGTGTAGATCGACATTAAACCTCTGCAATGTACTTTTTTTCCTTGTCGAAGCTTGCAATGTGCTTTAATGTTAATTTGCATTAATTCAACCAACATGGTCCAGATGCATTTTAAGGCAACCTTCTTCGATATCCACATACATTCATACAATACAATGGCGCTTATACAAGTCCCCCTGAAATGTAACA